ATTCTCTCTAACTGCTTAGAAAAAGAATGTTTACAAATCTCTCAACTCTCGATTACAATTGGATTTCCTGATTACAAAAGAGAAGAGAATGATCTAGATTCTCCCCTTTGTTTAATTCTGGGTTCTTCACGGTGGCGATGGAATGCTTCCCTCGAATGTTCGCGTCGAGTTTGCTCTCCGTTGACGATCCGAAAATGTCAATTCACTGGAACAACTGATTTGTCTGGTTGATAACTCTTGACGAGTATTGTGGCTTAGAACGAGTAACAAACTCTAATATGAAAAAGAGTTATTTGAACCGAAAATAATTCGGTTAATAAGCCAAGTATCGAATGTCTGGACTCTTCAGTTGAAGATGATTCCCCAGACTGTGTAAAGAGCTGATCCTCCAACTCTCACTCTCTAAATCCGATTCCTGGATCTCTATTTTTCCCACCAAGAACTCTGTTGAGTTTGTTGATATTTATAGGGAGATTAGGGGTGTAACCTCCCCCATAATCCGCTCCTAAATGAGGGTTTAGTTGCCTCATTAATCGGTTGTAACAACCCACGTAAACCACTCCTCAGATCGTGGGTGATCAGCGATCTTCTCGTAACCGCATGGGTTGTGTTTGAATAGGTCAGAACCTTGACTTGCGTTCTGGCATAGATTCTGCGCTTGAACGCAGCATCTGGAAGTGCGTTCTGTAGCGATTTGAAGCTGCGTTGTGCAGCGATGTGAAACTGCGTTCTGCAGCGATGTAGAGTTGCGTTCTTCGATGTTTGAAGGTGCGTTTCGCAGTATTGTGGAACTGCGTCTGGCGACAATTTGGAGCTGCGTTTGGTGGCGATTTGAGCTGCGTTTGGCAGCGGTTTGAGCTGCGTCTGGCAGCGATTAGAGATTCGTCTGGCGGTGATTGAAGCTGCGTCTGGCAGCGATCAGAGATGCGTCTGGCAGCGATTATTAGAGATTCGTCTGGCGGTGATTGAAGCTGCGTCTGGCAGCGATCAGAGATGCGTCTGGCAGCGATTAAGGTTGCGTTTGGCAGCAGTTTGAGCTGCGTTTTCTGTCTTTATATATGGATGACACCAATGACCAGTTGAGAAGGTCCTATTCAGGCCATTTGTGATAACTGAGGCATCTCAATAACGCTCTATCAACTGTAGGTTACGATCTCCACTATGATTTCTTTGCATGGGTAACCATGTGTTGACAACAGCTCTCTAGATCTTCCCGCTTTTCTAAAATCATTACACTGCTCATCAGCATCTCTAATAGTTGCTAATATAATATTAGTCATGTTGTTGTCGCAGCCATCAATATCAATTATCTCAAACATGGGACCGTGTTGATAGCTGAGGATGCAATGATTACGGTGCTTCGACTTTTGGAGCGTAGCCACTTGTGTTTTGACCGTAGGGGTGAATTCTATCTCTCGATTTCTTCATGGTCCATAGGGGCGTTCCTCGATTGTAGCTTCCTGTTGGTAACAAGAAAGTCATCTGATTGTAACTTTCATTGTTAGAGCTTGATGGGGATCAGCTATCCATTGTGATTTTTAGACAGCCTACAGAACCCCCTCCAAAGTTTTCGAAAGTTCACGGTTGACTGGGATGAATTTTCGGAATACTTTGGATCCCAAAATTTTGCTGATTGAATACATCTCATCGCAGACTGAGTGGAGCATCTCAGGGTCTTAGACAAATTTATTGATATCCTCTTTCTTGTTTAGTTCGTCAATAATGACTTGGACTTTAGCCCGTTTGACCAAGTTCGTCATCTTCAGGGAGGTTGAGCATTTCCTGCCTTAAGAGCAATCTATTGTCATAGACAGAGAGAACCACATGCTTGTATGAAAAGGCTTTCATCCCCAGCTTAGTCAGGAAGACAGCCTCGGAAGAATCCACCATATCATCTTTCTTGATCAGCTCGTCTGGGGTAAAATGATCTTAGCTGTATGGTCATTGCTTGGACTATTAACCCCTTTAAAGGGGTTAGTTACGTGATAGGCGGAGGTTGGTCACCAGAACGCATGTCTAAATCATGCGTTCAACTGTCTGAATGTGAGGGTGCGTTCGGAAGTTGAAACCCTCTTTTTTGAAAACGCGAGAATCACGTTTCGGGTGGGATTTTCACCTAAAATCCCGCGCTGATTTGACAACTACAGTTGTATATAAATAGCCCACTGGGGTCAAATCAAAAAGTCATTCGACTTTTCTCTTCCTTGCTTTTCAGTCGGCGGTTTAACAGAATTCCTGTTCATCTTCTCCAGCGCTTCGACGAAGGAGAAATTCATCCCCAAATCTTTCGTTAGCTCATTCTGTCTCTTCTTCATCACAGCTAGAATGGCCCCCAAGAAGAGAATGGCCTCTAAATCCAAGATCGCCCAAGCTCAGGGTGATTCTTCGGCTAGAACCCCCAGGGAGGTCCACGCCGTTGCCCCGACGTCTCCGACTTCTCAAATCAACGGTAAGTTGGGACGATTGAAAGTTATCTTGACAGATTCCATCCCTTCAATTTTTGATTAGGGATTCTGCCTTCCCCTATTAGAACATAGAGACTATACCTAACATTTCTCAGTCTTAAAAACGCATGGTTAGCTCCATCGTTCATGATGTTTCAACGCAGATTCAGACCTAGCGTTTCAAATTTTAAATGCAGGCTGAGACCCTGCGTTTAGGGACCTGAACGCGGGTCTGGGCCTTGCGTTTAAAATCCTGAATGTAGGCCGAGATCCTGCGTTTTGTAATTTTAAATGTGGGTCAAAACCCTGCGTTTTGGGACCTGGACGCGGGTCTGGGCCTTGCGTTTAAAATCCTGAATTGGTCATAAATCCAGAATTTTCCTTCTTGAGTTAGACTCCTGAGTTTAATTGTCTGACTTTTTTATTTGTAGTGAGCTACTCCAAAGAGCCTCTTTCCTTCAACCACTACTTCGGTCATGCGGGAGGTGCGGAGAAAAATACGATCTTCAGCTTTGCCTTCGAATATCCGATATTCCAGGATACCAACAAAGAGCGGGCAAAACTCATCACTCAAGCCTTCCCCGAGACTCTTAGATCCTTAGTCACGGATGCTAAATTTGAGACCGCCGAACGTGAGATTTTACAGAAACCATCCTTCCTTTTCGGGGATTCTGTTAAGATGGACCCCAAGCGGGTGTCGGAGGGGAACTACAAATGGCTGAGGACTGTCAACAATCGTCGCCTTTTCCTTCCCAACCTGGAGCGAATGTGGCCGATTTCTTATTATCAGTGTGCTTCCATTCCTCGGTCAATGAATTGGGAGCTTGTTCAGGACCAGGGAGGTGTTGCTACTGGGCATATTACTCCTCGGGGCACTCATCCGGCTGGTTTCAATCAATTTGGGGCCTTGAAGCCAGGCTTATTCAAGAAGGAGCACCCTGTCGACGAACCCGCTAAGCTGGCGGAGGTTTTTCATTAGAAAGTTTATCTCTGTCAAAGGAGAGTTCCCTGCTCAAGACTTTAGGGCTCCAACATGGGTTCATTCGAGTGAGACAGACTGGTGGGCCCGAATAATAAATTTTGTCTTGGAGGAGCTGGAAGAACCTTTGAGGGTTTCAGAGCTGAGGACTCCAATAACGGCTACTCGATATGCGATTTCTCCAAATTACAGCGGACTCTTTGCTATGCTAGAGTTTTATAATCCTCACACCGGTACATTCTTCACTCCTGTTGGTGAACTAGGTTTCGCCCTTCATGAGATGTTCTAAATTTCTGGCTTGCCTTTTGGAGAGCTGCCTTACGAGGAGTTCATCCCCGGAAATAGGGAATTGGAGATTCTGAAGAATGGTGCCCCTGACCTCTATGGCACTTATTGGGAACTGATGTGCCATTTTCAGATCTGTGCACAAATCACTGGTAAAAGGGCCAGTGGTGTGAAACAAGGACAATGGGCAGAATATCTTTTTCAAAATTTGTGGGACAAGGAAGCTGAGGTGACTCGCTTAGCTGCCAGTACTCTCGAGGAGATCACGGAACGCATCAATGACGCAACCTCTCATTATACTTGCGAGGTAGAGGAGGATGTCTTCCCAGCGTTCACCACGTTCGAAAGCTTCCACTATCAGGCAGAAGTCCCCATCTCTGACATGGCTTTGTTCGCTGGTTTTCTGACTCTTTGGTTGAAGCATTGTGTGGTACCCACAAGACCGGTGGATGCCATTACAGTAGAGGTCTTATACCCCGCTGTTCTTTTGGCTTATGGACGACCCTTGAATCTTCTTTCAGCCATGGTGTGCTGCTTACAAAGTGGTCAAGAAGTTGGACTCTGACGGGAAGACTATCGTTCAGACCCCAACCCCTCGGGTGCCGATGCCGTATATTTATTTGGTGTCTTGGTTTGTGTTGCACTGCCCTTCGATAATGTCGACTCCTGAATCAAGTGGCACCTCAGCTCCTCTTGTTCAGCAATTAGAAACCTCTCAATGGGTTGCTTGGTATCAAGTTAAATTCCGTGAGATATTTAGGCGGGATTATAACTACGAAATTGCTTGCAAGTTTCCCGCTTTCGAGGGCGGTGCGTATGGAGAACTTCATCAAGACACTCCGGGGCAGAATTCTTTCACCATGCTCAGTAGAGGTGCCTTTTGGTGGCTCATAAACATTCGCCCAGGCTATCTTATTTTTCGGCAAGGGAGGAAGTGCTTTATTGAACCATATCAGCCTTATCGCTTTTCTCGGCAATTTGGCTATGATCAAATTTACGTCGGGAATCTAAACCCTACTCTTGCGTACACAGGTAATGTGTATGAAGGAGCAAGGGCTTGGTATTACTCGGTAGCAGGATGTACAGGAGCGAAATTCCAACTACCGCACAAGATGCCCAACGTTCGTACTTCCTTAAGCTTTTGCACGTGGTACCAAGCTGCCTCTCAAATTTCAGCCTACAACATGAATACTTCTTGTTTGAGAGCCATCCGTAGATGGTATGCTTCAAAGAAGAGTGCTAAACGGTTTCATGCACGGGGTGCTAACGAATATTTATCATATGAAAAGGCGATGACAGAGGACGAACGGCGACAATCACCAGAGCAAGTTCCGGAAGAGGTCAGGATGCTGGATACTCATGAGGTGGAACCTTCGAGAGTTCAGACTCGGAGTAAGAGTGCCACTGGAAAAAGAGCACTAGACCCGGCTGAAGAAGCCAGGTATGACAAACGAGCTCGTCGAAAGTTAGCGCTCGAGCCTCTTGCTTCCAAACTTATGTCAGATGCTCAGAAAGCATGGCATGCCGAGGAGGAAGAACGAGAATCAACTGTTATAGGACTCTCGCCTCAGCCTGGTCTCCCCAGTGTTGGTCCTGCTTTAAGAGGCCCTGCTTCTTCTGCACATTCATTGCATGAAGAAGAACATGGAGATGAATCATTTGTAGGGGGTATGTAGTTTGCCCCTGAGGACACACTTCGTGATACTGCCTCTACTGTCCCGCATGTTGAAGAAGATATACCTCCTGTCCAAGAACCTACTGTGACTGCCCAACAAGATTCAGTAACGGACAAGTCTCCTTTTACTTCTGTGTTGCTACCCCCTGCAGGAGGTACACAGTTAAGCCTTATGACTGGGGTCATATCAAAACCTACTATCGCCGAGGATCCACCAGCGTTTCCTTCCGTAGACGAAGATGAGCCTATGGACCATAGCGACGGCGAGGATGATATGGATGATGATGGTGACCAAAGTGGGGGTAATGAAAATGATGACCACTTGGGTGATGATAGTGATGACCCCGGTGAGTGGGATATTCCACCGCCACAGTCTTCAGACAAGGCTTCAGCCTACATTCCCCTGCCTCTCACTGGTAAGCGCCGTTTATTTTGACTCACGACTAATCTTTGTTCTATAATTAAACCATTTTCCCATACAGATCCTATGGTTCATGAGGCAAGCGTTGTCATCCCTGCTTCCACGCAACAACTTATGCTACCCCCAGCTCAGGTGTCAGAATCACCTTGCTTGGAACTCTCAACGACAACTTTCCCACCGACGACCTTATTGACCATTTCTTTAGCCTCTACAGAAGTTGTAGACGTGCCAAGATCATCAGAAGTAGGGGAACTTATGGTTCTTCAATCGAGTTCATCTCAATTGGATGTCGACGTTCCCTCTCAAGCCACTACGCCAAAATCACCCGCTGGTCTCTTGCTTGGTTCTATATCTTCGGAAGTTTCTGTACCGGTTCCCATTGCTGCTTCGAGTCCCACAGACGTGCCGGATTTCCTTAAGATTTCTCTTAATTATCTAGAGAGTCTGACCAAGAAGGTAATTGAGGTGGTATTGGCTGGCAGAGATACTTTTGATACCTTCAAGCCTATGCTCACAAATAGTTTAAATAACCTCAAGTTCATGGGTGATGTCGACGTAGTTCGTCGTTGCTCAGAAGCTATCTCACGCCTGGAGGCACAATTAAGGTTCTTGGAGGCCTTAGGTCGTGCTGATATCCAAGCGCAGATTGCGTCGACTTTCGAAGACATCCGGACTGAAGAATTTAACAAGTATGAAGCTGCTCAGCGTCATATAGCCGAGGAAGAAGTCCGGGTGGAACATTTGCAGAAGCTGCATGCTCAAAAGCAAGCTGAGCTATCGCTCTCCAACACTTCTCTAGAGAATTTACGAGAGAAGATCATCGCTACTGAAGTAGAGCTGACTAGGTTGAAAGCTCAATTCAAGCGAGAAGAAGCTATTGTTACTGAACTCAACGTCAAGAGCGCGACCTCTCTAGTAGATTATCGCACAGGAGCTAATGCTCTTGCAGAGGCTAAACAGAAGATTGCTGCCATGTTGCCTGACGAGGACGAGCTTCGGAAACGAGCTGAAATGCTAGTGTGAACTGATCATGAAGAGAAACTTTCCGAGCTTAGATCTCAGCTTGTCTCCTTTAGTTTGATAAATTGATGTGTCGGTTTTTGTATTGCTCTTTTGGTAGTGGCAACACTTATCTTCTTGTTGCTTTGCTTTCCTTTGAATAAACGTAGCGTTGGTTTTGGTCTTTCATTGTTTCTTTTGCATATCATTTTCTGACATGGAACAATGAAATTCTGCTTCAATATCAAAGGATTAATTGCTTATATGCTTTTTGTTTTAAGCACTAGAGGAAATTTGTAGACCTCAAAGGTGCTGCGTTAACATGGTGTATGTTGCGGTCGGAGCAACTTTGAGGTCCTATCGCTCTATTGGTGAGAGTCGATAAGTTAGAAGTGTTGCGTTTGGAGCAACTTTGAGGACCTATCGCTCTATTGGTGAGAGTCAATAAGTTAGAAGTATTGCGTTTGGAGCAACTTTGAGGACCTATCACTCTATTGGTGAGAGTCGATAAGTTAGAAATGTTGTGATCGGAGCAACTTTGAGGACCTATCGCTCTATTGATGAGAGTCAATAAGTTGGAAGTATTGCGTTCGGAGCAACTTTGAGGACCTATCGCTCTATTGGTGAGAGTCGATAAGTTGGAAGTGTTGCGTTCGGAGCAACTTTGAGGACCTATCGCTCTATTGGTGAGAGTCGATAAGTTGGAAGTGTTGCGTTCGGAGCAACTTTGAGGACCTATAGCTCTATTGGTGAGAGTCGATAAGTTAGAAATGTTGCGATTGGAGCAACTTTGAGGACCTATCGCTCTATTGGTGAGAGTCGATAAGTTGGAAGTGTTGCGTTCGGAGCAACTTTGAGGACCTATCGCTCTATTGGTGAGAGTCGATAAGTTGGAAGTGTTGCGTTCGGAGCAACTTTGAGGACCTATCGCTCTATTGGTGAGAGTCGATAAGTTAGAAATGTTATGATCGGAGCAACTTTGAGGACCTATCGCTCTATTGGTGAGAGTCGATAAGTTGGAAGTGTTGCGTTTGGAGCAACTTTGAGGACTTATCGCTCTATTGGTGAGAGTCGATAAGTTAGAAGTGTTGCGTTCGGAGCAACTTTGAGGAGGGTGAAGTTCAAACATTGAGAAGACTTCATTAAATATTTTGTTTTAAATTGTGCAAAAGTTTTAAACTCAAGCAGCATATTTTCCAAAAATCCGATTCTAGAAATAGGGGTACCCCCTGCGTTTATGCCCTTGAGTTGGGCTGCGTATTTTTGGAAGAACGCATCTCTAGATTATTGCGTCTAGTCAGGCTTTATGGACGCAGTGTTTTGTCCCGCGTCTAATCGGAAGCCAAGCGGTCATAATGATGACGAAGAAGCCCCTCTCAGCGGGAGTCTTGGAACTCTACACCATTATTAATTATTTATAAATAGGGCTGATTAGTCATGTCAAAAACGTTTAAGCTTCTTTCTTGAACTCCCAAACGAGTTTCTTCTCGTTAGTTCTTCTACTATTTCGCCTCGTCTTCTGGCCATGGCTTCCAAGAAGTCTCGCTCGAGCGACGACGACAAGATGGCGCACCCTACACCGCCGTCGGAGAATGCTTTTGGGTCCTCTTCCGGACCGACATCGACGCCTCCGACGCCTGGTCATCGAGGTAAGTCTCGTTGTCTTCTTCGTTTTAAGCATTCTTTGTCGATGGGTTTTCTTGAAATTCTCTAGATGAATTCTGGTTGATGATGACGAATAAAATTCGTCTTTTCAATCTTGAATGCGAAAAGAACTTGCACGTCTTTTGACGAAAACTGTTCGTCTCCTCGATTTTGAACGATAAGAGAATTTCCTGTATCCATCGTTGTAACGAAGGGTCAAACCCTTAATATTAAACACACGGAGAAGTTTCTGTGTTCATCAACGAAAACTATTCGTCTTAGATACGAACAACATTCCTGCGTTCTTTGATCTTGAATGCGGAAGAGAACTTCCGTGTTTATTGATAAGATGAAGGGTTAATCCCTTAATCTTGGACGCAGGAAGAAGTCTTGCGTTCATAGCGATCCAACGCGGGTCTAAATTCCTTGCGTTCAGGCTGATCTTGACGCATGTTTAACTTACTGCATTTGCATTCATCTATTTTATTGACTTTGCTCTTCATTTGGCTGCAAGGTGGGGCTTCTGCTGCTGATCCCCTCATCATATCTGATGATGAAGAAGAAGGACCTCTCCAAGGGGACGTTCCTTTGATTACCCCCCTTGCTATGGTCCCTCCTGGAAAAGTCTTTACCCCAGATTTCAAAAGCGTGAACTTCCTCACGGAGCTTCTGGAGAACATGGTGAAGCAAGCATACCTTATTTCTGAGCAAGGATGGGCCCCATTTTCAGAATTCCAGAGCTCGTTCATGGAGGTGATGCTCTTGCTTAAACGTATCAACCGCAGCTGGGCTTATCACTGTGCCGAGAAGGTTTACTTCTTCTCAGGTACTGTGGAAACCTTGGAGAAATTGCAGAATGCTGACTTGAAGCCTGAGATAGAGGAGGCTCTCCAAGCCTTGCGCTCAGGAGCTGGTGTTGCTGCTGCCACTGCTGAAGAGTTGAGGGTGAGGGCTGAAGCAGAAGTCCGCGCTAAGCATTCTGCCCGTATAACCAAGGCTAAAGCCCGTCTCGCATCTTTTTCTCTTTGCGGGCTTTTATAATGCTTTTTGGCTTGTAATAACTTTTGATATTTTCGCAACATTACTCTTGCCTGTGATGAATTGTGGACATCTTCTGCAATGATATAGTCTCTTTTGTGGTATGAGAATTTCTGAAAACTATTCCCTCGTGTTTGACTGATTTGAACGCAGGCTTATCAAAAACGCATGGTCTTATCTTTGCGTCCAAACAGGTTTGAACGCAACTCTGAGATTTGAGTTGTAGTTAGAAGACTTGCGTTTAGAGAGATATTATGCATTCCAACTTGTTGAGGATCCCCTTTGCTGTTGTTAGGGTAATCTCTGGAAGTTTCCACGTTGTAGTTAAAATTCTATGTTTGAATGCACCCAACGTGGGTCTGCCCCTTTATAGGAATCAAGAACGCAGGGTTGAAACTTGCGTTCTAGAGACTAGAACTTGCGTTCGGGGGAGACTTGAAACGCAGTTATAGAACTTGCGTTCGGGGGAGTTGGAAACTCTTTCTTGACCTTGGGCGCGCATCTTAGGTTGCTAAGACTTTTCCACTGAACCAAATCAATCCAACACCTTAGGAAATTTTCTTTATTATAATATTTCCCGACAACTTAAATCGTCAGAGGTGTAATGTTAACTTGACGACATACAAAGTAGGAGAACTTATTTGTTCATACAAACATTTGATGAGCAACCCCCAGCTAAGCTCAAGAGACTTGCAGCTTATGGGTAATATTTCTTGAGAAATTTTTCATTAATTGGCATCATAAGTCTGTCGCTTTTTTTATTGATGAGGCGATAAGCTCCGTTGGAATAGACTGTCTCTACCACAAAAGGTCCTTCCCATTTGGGATTAAACTTTCCTTTGGTTTTATGGGTCATCACCATAGGTCGTCGATTAGCCAAGACCAAATCGCCTTTTTTAAAAATCCGTTCCTTAACCTTTCTGTTGTAGGCTTTAGAAATACGGGCTTGATATAACTCGATCTGTTGCTGAGCTTGAAGCCGTTTGTCGTCTAAAGCTTCGAGTTCCTGCAAACGTCGTTGGTGTTTCTCTTCATCTGTCAGTCCGGTTGTGATAGCGACTCTTAAGGAAGGGATTTGGATTTCTAATGGCAACACAGCTTTGCAGCCATATACCAAAGAGAATGACGTAGTTCTTGTAGGGGTCCTCACTGTTGTGCGGTAGGCCCATAAACATTCGCCGAGTCTTTCGTCCCAATCTCATCGGCTCTTGGAGACGAACTTTTTGAGGAGCTTCACGATAGTCTTGTTAAAGGCTTCTGCAAGACCATTCGCTGGCGGATAATATGCCGTGGATGCAACACTTTGGACGCGAAATTTATCACAGAATCTCTGAAATCCAAAGCTAACGAACTGTGTCCCGTTGTCGTGAACTATTCGTCTTGGGACTCCAAAGCGATAGATGACGTGATGTTTAATGAACTTGATCACATTCTTTGTCTTGACTTCTCTTAACGGGATTGCCTCTGCCCACTTGGAGAAATAATCGGTTACGGCCAAAATGAACCGGTGTCCTTTGGAAGTCGGAGGAGAAATTGGTCCCATAATATCCATGCCCCACATTTCAAATGGCTAAGATGCAGATGTAGGATGCAAATTACCTGGCGCTTGATGGATAAAGTCCCCATGAATCTGGCATTCGTGACAGCATTTAGCATAGTCAACTGCGTCTGAGAACATTTTTGGCTAATAATATCCGATTCGTCGAAGACGATCGCCTAATTTAGTTCCAGGCTAATGAGCTCCGCACATTCCGTCGTGAGCTTCCTTAAGGGCCTCTTTTGCTTCCTTCCGAGAGAGACATCGAAGCAAAACTCCGTCATGTGATTTGCGGTATAGGGTTTGAGAGACTGCATCATAATAGAATTGGAGGGCCTTTCGTTTGATAGTGGCCGCTTCCTTAGGGTCATCAGGCAATATTCCGTATACAGCATAGTCGATATACGGGAATCGCCAATCTCTAACTTCAAATTCCATCGAGGTTGTACAGACTTCTCCTGTCGGTGTCTTATCGGAGCTTTCCTCCATGGGAATCTTGAAACAGTATAACTCGCGTCCTGTAACCGGGATTGTAGTTTCAACTCCTGGAGGCAACGCTAATGAAGTTGCCAAAGAGGCTAAAGCGTCTGCGTAAGCATTCTGAGCTCGTGGAATGTATTCAATAAAGAAACCTTCGAACTTCTCAGCTTACTTTAGCACTGCGAAGTGGTACGGGATAAGATCCTCATGACGCACTTCGTATTCCCCTCGGACTTGATTCACGATTAGCTGAGAGTCACCGTAAGCTTCAAGATGTTGAATATTGAGCTCCTCGGCAAATTGCATTCCTAATAACAGAGCATTA